TATCCTGAGGAGGGCAAAGGTATATCCTGACAGATACAATTTGACTATGAATAGAGGCATCCTTATCTACTAGGAATTGATTAGGTTTACCATCTATATTCAACTTGAGCGTCTAAGGGTAAGTCAGGATATGGGCACTTTTTCCTTCTTTAGAGTATTCTTTTTGATCAGGATTGAGGGTTTTTCTTTGTCCCTGGTTTTTCTTTTATGATATGGGACATTCTGTTTTGCCAGTGCCCTTTTATTTATAATACCTACAGTGTCCTTGTCAAAAATGGTTGCTTGGAAGGTGTATCACCTAGTTGTTTGATGATCTGTAAGATCATAGTTTATTTTAGACTCTGTCTCATTTTGATTCTAAACCCTTCTTCAGATATTCCAACAGGTCTTTAGGCAAAGGTGCTATTTCCTATTTTAATTTCTATATTTTGAATTAGGCTTAAGGTTTAACTCCATTGACAGAATGAGATAAAAGGGCTGCTTTTATACTGACATCTTTATTAACTTCTGAATGTTGTCAGAGGTATTTTATAGTCCAGAACAAAAAAATCCCTTATATTTTTACCTCTTTTTCTCATTTTAATGACTAAATTATAGTCCAATTCAATTTGTTGGAAATGTTTAGGGGTACTGCTTGTAAGATGCTCTGTCCTACTTTTCAGGATTTTTTTTTAATCTTAGATTTATTGTGGAAAAAAGAGAGCCTGTAGATCCCTTTCTGGGTAATACAATCAATTTTTGCTATCCAGGATTTAACATCTGAGATTCTGACCAACATGGGTACAAGCTGATGTAGGTTAAGTAGCCCTGAATCGTATGCACCCAAAAGCACTGTAAATTCTTCTAGGAATAGTTGCTGGTCTTGTTGGAGGTTTTGTAGGGAGGTCCTTAACTATAGCTCTTAATTCATCTTGGGTCCAAAGTTTAAATTCTACACTTGTCTGCTTATCTGGCTCATAAGAGACATGGATCTTTAGAGGCATGTAATAATTTTGTGCTGTCAGGAGGCTGTTGGGCAAACATTGGTGGGGGGGGTGTCTGCTCAAAAGGAAGAGAATAGCATAGTTGACAGAGGTGAGAAAAGACAGATAAGAAGGATAAAGAAGTAGAGGGATATTGGATACAGGGAGGCAACTGGAAGACAAGGACAGGAAGGATTTACTAGGAAAGTGAGTCTAGTTTCTTGTTGCCTAAGTTTGTCAAATTGCTCCCAAGCTTTGGCCAAAGAATCTTTAAGTGAAATAAATTTTGAACCAGAATTTCTTTTGGAGGCTTCTGCATACCAGTTAAAAACTGCTGCCCATTGACCTGAGGAATCTTATTTCCCCTTTTTTTCTAGGTTGCCTATCAATACCAAAGTTATCCAAGTCAAATGTTCCTCAGCGTGGTCATGGAAGGCCCAAATCCTCGTTACTAAACTTATGCCGCTAAGAGAGACGGCTACCAGAATTAGGACCGTAATGACCCACATATAAGACGCAGCAGTTTTTCCTGGCAGAGTGGATGTAGGCTTAGATAACCCCAGGAGAGATGGCAATGGTTGGCTGAAAGTGATGCTTATGCTCTTTGTGTCTCAGGCCCCCCACCTGAGGGTTGGCCCCTCCAAACACAGACCTGACAATCTGTGCCCCCTGGCAGGTAGAAAATTACAGTGATCTCTCTCTCTAATTTAAGGGCAAACTCTTAGGACAAAAAATCAAGATGGAAGGAGTGCCTCACCCAGTTTTGTTCGTAGCCCCCAGTGAAGTTTGTGCAAACGGATGGCCACCTGGTGAGAACTGAAACTCACTGGTCTCTGAGGCTGGCTTGGACAACAGGCTTACAGGGCCTATGGGTGTGTTCTACCCTATGATCCTCCTTCCTATGACAAACAGCATTTTCAGGTGGCACAATACAAAATAAAAGTACAAAAAAGAGCCATGAAAGGATGAAAAGGAATGGCCTGATTCCACCGAGGATAGGATAAGTACAACAAATCGCTGAGGAACTCAATGCAAAGACAGCAGAGTTCAGACCCAGCACTGACTTACGACATTGTCACAGACTCGACAGGCCACAAGCATCAAGGCACAAAGGTCCTCTGCATGTACCACATCTGGTCAAAGGCTGGGGGCCACGGTGATGGACAGTGCAGACCATGTCTCAGTGGAGTCTCCAGGAAAACTGTGGCAAGGAACAAAGACCACCCAGATAGTAAACAGAGACTATTCATTCAGACCTTCCTATAGCAAGTGAGTTAGTGACCATCACTTGCATTTGGAGACTCAAAGGCAGGCCGGAGGGTGGAAAAGCTTTATGGTGAAGAAAATGGAAAGGGTTCAGGCATGCTCGGACTGGGAGTTGTTAGCAAGGGAAAGATGGAAGTAGGCTAACGAGAAAAGGGCACCTTATGTCATTGGTTTAGGGAGCATATTTGGCTTTCTGTGGTTAGTCCTGAGTTGGAAGCAGGTGAAAAAATTGGGAAGCTGGAAGTCATCGACTGAGTCCTAACTGTTCTGGTGAGTTTGGTGCAGGGATTTTGGTTTGGCTTCCTGAGCTACTTATTGCAGAGATTATGGGGTGGGGTTATTATAACCTCAGACAAGGTCTGGTCCTTGTCCATCTGTAGAACCAGTCTATCAAGGCAAAGAGGGCATTGAGCATTTAATTTAATTTAATCACAATGGTCTCCTCAGCATCCGTATTTTACCAATGGAGAAAGCAAAGCTCAGAAAGTACGAGTAATGTACCCAAAGTCATATAACTAGTGACACAAGTAAAATTCACACTATGAATGTTGGATCTATTTTTAACTATGTTTCATCTTGTAAAGACAAATTATTCTGATGTCACTCTATTAAAAATTATTAGATGCCTGGGCACTTGGCTGGCTCAGTCAGTTGAGCATCCAACTCTTGATTTCAGCTCAGGTCGTGATCCCAGGGTTGTGGGATCAGGGCCCACGTTGGGCTCTGTGCTGAGTATGGAGCCTGCTTGGGATTATTGCTCTTTATTCCTCTGCCTTTCTGCCCCACTTGCACATGCATGCACTCTCTCTCTAAAAAAAAGTGAAAAAAATATTAGATGCTCAATAAATACTCATAGGGTGAGTGAATGGATGAAGATAATTTTGGAACACCTCTTTTGAAATTGCCTCCACAGCCTGCATTTTTAAAAATAATTTCTAGGTGTGCCTGCGTGGCTCAGTTGGTAAAGCGTCCGACTTCGGCTCAGTTCATGATCTCATGGTTCATGGGTTTGGGCCCCGCATTGGGCTCTGTGCTGACAGCTAGCTCAGGGCCTGGAGCCTGTTTCAGGCTGTATCTCCCTCTCTCTCTGACCCTCCCCTGCTCATGCTGTCTTTCTCTCTCTCAGAAATAAATAAAACATTAAAAAAATAATTTCTATGAAGTCATACCTTGATGATGGGTTTAGTTTCTGGAAACAAATGTTTTGCCAAATGAAGACCGGTAAGGAAGGCGAGAGAAACTGCTGGCTCAAAAACCTAGAGTGTCCACTCAATAATAAGATGAATCTTGCACACTGGCATGGGATTGTCAAAACACCTCTGAAGGCTTTTCCAAAGAAGTTGCAAAAATAGTTGTATTTTGGGAATAAGAACTCAAGTCATCAAAAGGTTGAAGGCTGCTGTTTACTTTAAAAATGAGCTAAATTCTCATTATTTTTGTGGCTTAGATTTCTGTATAATTTTACAGTTTTCACACGGTTTATCATTCAAATAAATATTTGTGGACCATCTATTTTGTGTTTAGTTCTGTGCTTTGAACACAGATGTCAGATATAGCCTTGTCAAACAGGAGCTCACAATCTAGTTGAGGAAAACAGAAAATTAACAATTGAAATGCACATTGACAAGTACCAGGCTGACAAATGGTAGGATGCCGTGGGAACATGTAATGGGAACAGTGGTGAGTTGCTACATCCAAAACAACTAATTCCTGGGCAGCGCAGGGAGGTCAGGGCCTGATTTGTAGCAGGTGTTGATTTCCAGGGTATAAATACCCAGCCATGACCAATTCTGAGCTCTCACCATGATCCCCTTAAAAAGGGAGTTGTTAAGAGATATGCGGCAGTACATCATTCTGTTCTATTTCCACACAGATACAATAGAGGTAAATAATCTCAGAAGCGCAGTAAACAATAAAATGTAGTAAAAATAAGTAGGAAGTGGTAAAGTCTGTGTATTTATCACTTTTGCTCTTAATATTATTTACTATAAACATACATAATTTATTGTTAAAAAGTGGCGGTATTTATTTTTTTTTATTTTTTGTTTTTTTTTGTTTTTCCTTCCTGTGTCCCCAGGACCTGAAACTGAGAGCCACGAGTCAGTCAGTCACGTGTCGCTGGAATTGCTATAGCCCTGGAATGGAGCCCGAGAGCCACGGCCAGACTAACAGGCCACGAACAGTGCCTAAAAAGTGGCGGTATTTAAAAACCAGCTCACAAAATTACTGCACACTTAACGATCAGCTCTTGCAAGCGAGTACAAATCAGTTCAAGTGGGCTCCAGCACACCACCAAACAAGGCCAATGTCAGGAATTTCTGTGGGGTCATCGAAGAAGAGGGCAAGGAAATCAAAAGCAGGGACCCTACCTTTTCATTTCTATATATTCCATACCTAGCGCTAGGTTGTTTAATGGTCAAAGCAATTCATTAATTAAATATGAACATTTTTTTACTCCCTACTATATTCTGGGCACTCTTCTGGGCGCTCGGGGAGATAATGGCAGCGAAAACCAAGTCCCTAGACTTGAGGAAGTTTATATCCATAGGTATGCGGGTGTGGGTGTGGGCCATACAAAAAAAAAAGTAAAATCAGGTGATAAGTGGTAAGTATTGGGGCTTTCTATAGTGCAAAGGACGGAAGGAACGGGACACTTAGTCCGTAGCGGGTTGTCAGGCAATAATAGTAAATGTTGAGACGTGAGAAAAGTAAGGATGAAAGGTTCTGGAATATGAGAAATACGGTTAAGTCTGAAGCACAGACTGCGCAAATCTCACCATTCAACGGAGTTGGAACACATAAGATAGAAAAATTTTCTGCAGAGAAGTTCACATAGTTCCCCTTGACTTTCCTCAGCCCCCCGGCACAAGCGCAAACTCTCCCCTTAAATCTCTTAGGAGCCCGCTACACGCGCAGACCTCTGCGCATGCTCAAACCCACCGTTTCTGGTGCCCCATCTATACGGATTGCGCATGTGCGAAAGCGAGACGAGTTTTTTTGTCCCAAGGCCTTGCCGTACCGTCCAGGCGGCGAGTTGCGTCGGGGTTCAGTAGTGTTTGCAGCGTGTGTCGAGCGTTGTTTCGCTACGGTCGCCACCGCCGAAATGAACCGCGAGAGCTTCGCGGCGGGCGAGCGGCTGGTGTCGCCGGCTTACGTACGGCAAGGCTGTGAGGCCCGCCGCTCGCATGAGCACCTCATACGGCTGCTTCTGGAGAAGGTACCGAGCTGTCGGGTCCCTCTCCAGCCGCCGCGCCCCCCAGCCTCCGGTTCCCCCCGGCGCCCCGGTAGTGCTGAGTCCTGTCCCCCTCCCCGCCACGCCCCTGCTTGCTGGTTGTGACCTGTCCGCAGCAGTCTGTCGCAGCTTGGCAAGCGTTGTGCTGACTTGCTGCGCTCAGCTCCTTCTCAGCGTCACCAAAGTCAGCAAAACCCAGAGACTGTTGTTAGGGAGCGTGGGGGGGGGGGGGGGGCGGTCGGGATTTTGAGTCCTGTTTTCTAACTTCGGGATATGGAAGTCCCAGTTGGCTTTACCGTTTTGTTTGCGAAAAGGGCAAGGTTCGCATCTTCCGTCTTTGACTACTGCCAAGGACTCAGGGAACACTTGATGTTTGTAAACCACAATATACTAACTCGAACCAAGAGCTGCCCCAGAAAGTCACAGGTCTTCTTCCTATCGGTATCCCGAATTTTAATTTCACTGAAGTTTGACAAGCCCTAGTTTTAGCAGCCTGGTTTGAACAATCCTCGTTGAAGATCAGGTTTATTGGTTTTCAGTTACTTTAACTCGTTGAAACATTAAACCTGATAAATATCATCGTATTCATTTATTATCACTTCTGGCAATCTGTAGGTACTTGTAATGCAGTCTAACAAATGTTTTGCCTATTCGAGGTTTCTTCATAGTGCTGAATTTATGTCTGTAGTTTAGAAAGCAAGGAGCGTGACAAAATTCACATTACAGGGTTGAAAAACTTCATTGACATAAGGTTCTAGAGGATGGTTTTCTTAAATACATGTTTTTTGTTTTGTTTTGTTTTTTAAAGGGCAAGTGTCCAGAGGACGGTTGGGATGAAAGTACACTTGAGCTCTTTTTACATGAACTTGCAGTCATGGACAGCAACAATTTCCTGGGCAATTGTGGTGTGGGTGAAAGAGAAGGGAGAGTGGCATCTGCATTAGTTGCTCGGCGTCATTACAGGTATATATATTTTTAAAATAGAAGACATTTTTCTTTCCTTTCCTTTTTTTTTATTAAAAATAATGGTGGTAATTGCAATCCTGTTAAATTATAAAACATCCATTGGTAACTTACTTCTTCCCTATTCCAATGGATGTAGAAACTAAATGTAACAGGAGGATGGAAACAGTATGAATAGGTGCTTTTCAGGACAGTAGGATGACATTGGTGGCTATTATGTCAGATTCTGAGTGGTTAACAATACTGCCTATACCTTCTGTTAATAACGTTTAATGTAATAAACCTATTTGGCTGTAAGAGTTTAAAATGTTAAGGTTGTTTATAGTTTGCTGTTTCTTTCTTTTTTTTTAAACTTTTAAATGTTTATGTATTTCTGAGAGAGAAAGACAGCATGAGTGGGGGATGGGCAGAGAGAGAGGGAGACAGAATCTGAAGCAGTTCCAGATGCTGAGCTGTCAGCACAGAGCCCCATGCTGGGCTCAAACTCACAGACCTTGAGATCATGACCTTAGCTGAAATTGGATGTCCAGCCAACTGAGCCACCCAGGTGCCCCAGTTTGCTGTTTCTTTTCTGACATTGCAAGGTTTTTTTTAGAGAACGATATATAGGTAGAACTTTAAAACGCTGTTTACCTATATCTAAAATGAATGCTATTTTGTAAATACCTTGCATTGTTGCAGTAGATGCAGGAAAGATACATTAAATTTGATTTTAGATTATTAAGTCACTTTTTTTCTTTTGCAATATTTCAGAAACCTTTTCATCAATTCTCTTAACCACTTAATTGGTAGTATTTCCAAAGATGATCATTTCTCTGTTCTTCAACATTTCTGTGAAATATAGGTAAACTTTTAAAAACTCCTGTCTTGAAATTTTCAGTGATGAAGCTCTTCTGCAGATAATAGAATTTTATTTCAATCAAAACCATTGCAGTCAAAATTAATAATAATAAATCTATAAGTTGGATGAAAAATTCATAGTTAAAATGGGCTGATAACATGATTTTTAATATTTGTAAAAAAATGCTTTCTACATTAGATTTCAGTGATAATGAAGTGTAACACTAGTGTTCTGTGTTAATCTCAGTGTGAAGGATTTCTTATCTAACTATAAAGTATAAACAGACTTTTGATTTCAGAGAATATTCAGAGGTATCTTTCATGTGTATGGCATCATCTAACATAAAATGAGTAGATTTGCACACTATTTTAAGGAATATATATAGTTGACCCTTTAACAAAATAGGTTTGAAATGGGCAGGTCCACTTACACGTGGATTTTTTTCCAATAAATATAGTACAGTACTGTAAATGTATTTGCTGTTCCTTATGATTTTCTTAATAACATTTTCTTTTCTCTAACTTATTGTAAGAAAATATCATATAATACACATATAAAACATGTGTTAATCAACTGTTTATGTTATTAGTAAGGCTTCCAGTCAACTGTAGGCTATTAGTAATTAAGTTTTTGGGGAATCAAAGTTATATGGGGATTTTTGACTGTGTGGGGCTCCCCTAACCACTCCTTCAAGGGTCAGCTGTAGTATTTTTTAAATTAAGGTGATACCTGAAAAAGCAGCTCATACCCATGGAAACTTAGTCCACTACTCTGATTAAGGAAATGGAAAGAAAGAAGAGAATCTGATGTTACGTATATTCTGGTTTTCTGTTGCTGCTAACATACCACCTCAGAACTTAGTGGCTGAAAACAGTCACTTATTATTATCTCTCACAGTTCTGGGGGTTAACTGGGCTCAGCAGGGTGATTATTGCTTGCAGTCTCTCATGCAGTTGTAGTCAGATATTGGCTGAGAGTTTAATCATTAGGTTCAACTGGACAGTTTATCCAAGTTGACTCACTTAGATGGCTGAGAGATCATATGGTCTCCCCAGGTGGCTTGGGCTTCTCCCAGCATGGCAGCTGGGTTATGAAGGAGCTCCCACAAAAGCAAGCCCTTCAGGAAGAGGTCAGGTTAAGTTTTAAAGCTTCTTGGACCTAGATCAGAAATTCCAGACCATCACTTCTTCCTAGATTCTTCCTGGCCAAGCAGTTCACTAAGGCCAGTGCAGATCCAGTGTAGAGGAATTTGATTCTATCTCTTGGTGTTGACAGTAGTGTATAGCATAGGGAGAAAAGGGATTGATGGTGGCCATCTTGGGAGACTAGCTACCACAGTGTAAATGATTAATTTGTTTCAACTTAATTAGGATATTTTTATATTATTAATAGATTATGAACAATATCTACAATAGCCAATTGTTACCTGGTTTTTTTAAATTATGGTATCTGTATACTTACACAGTGGATTACTTAGAACACCGAATATTTTTGTCCAGTTATTGGCCCATTTTTTGCTTAGGTTCATTCATGGAATTGGACGATCGGGTGATATTTCTGCTGTGCAACCAAAAGCTGCAGGTTCTAGCCTTTTGAACAAAATTACCAATTCTTTGGTCCTGGACATCATAAAGTTGGCTGGTATGTACTATGTTAATCATAACACTTTTGGCTGACCAGCCACACATACTTTTGCCTAATATCTTTTACTAATGCCTCTTTCCAAAATATGTATGTATATTTTAAAACTATTTAGAAAAAGATAGAAAATCAGAGCTATAAGCCTGGAGGATGAATTTGGCAGTGAGCTTCCTGAGGCCATGTACAGTAGAGGCATTCAGTCTATAACTCTTACTTTTTGATTGAAGAAGTAGATCATTTCTTCAAGAAAGGTACTGGTTTTTCAGTGAAATAACTAATTCCTCTTTTATGTCTTATTTTTAGGTGTCCATACAGTGACCAACTGCTTTGTAGTTCCTATGGCAACTGGTATGAGTCTAACATTGTGTTTCTTAACATTACGACACAAAAGACCAAAGGCAAAGTATATTATATGGCCAAGAATAGACCAGAAGTCCTGCTTTAAATCCATGATCACTGCAGGTAAAGGAAGAGAAGTGGCATATATAATGCAGAAGATTCAGACTTTATGTAGAGATAGATGAATGAGAAAGAAATCTAATGTGTTCCTATTCCCTCCTTTTATTATAATAAAATATACATAACAAGATTTACCATTTTAATCATTTTTAAATGTATAGTTCTGTGACATTAAATACATTCACTTTGTTGTGCAACCATTGCATAACACCATCTCCAGAACCTTTTCATCCTCTTAAACTGAGTCTCTACCCATTAAACAATAACTGCTCCCTCCCCACACTACCCCCGGTTCCTAGCAGTCACCTTTCTACTTTCTGTCTTTATGAATCTGACTACTCTGGGTCCTTCATGTAAGTGGAATCATAGAGTATTTGTCCTTTTGAGACTGGCTTATATCTCATAGCATAATATCTTTAAAGTTCATTCATGTTACTGCATGTATCAGCAGATCTTTCCTTTTTCAAGGCTAATACACATGTGTATATGTATATATTTCATGTTTCATTCATGTATTCATTCATTGAGGGACACTTGGGTTGCTTTCACTTTTTGTCTCTTGTGAATAATGCTGCTATGAATATGGGTGCATAAATACCTGTTTGAGGCTCTGCTTTGAATTCTTTGGGGTGTATACTCAGAAGTGGAATTGCTATATCGTATATCTCCATTCTTTAAAATGGGGATATGATTACCTGTCTCACAAGATTGTTTTGAGTATTAAATAGGATGGCCTATGAAATGCCCAATAGTAATCCCTGGAACAATAAAGATTCTTCAGGAATGGTTGTTGTATATACTTAAGTGGAATATACATAAATTATTAGCATGAATCAGTGTCTGGATGGCTCATTTGGTTGAATGTCTGACTCTTGATTTCGGCTCAGGTCATGATATCACGTTTCATTTCATGGGATTGAGTGTCCGACTCCACACAGAGCCTGCTTGGGATTCTCTCTCCCCCTTACTCTCTGACCCTCCCTGCTTGCACTCATGTGCACGCACACACACACTTTCTTGCTCGCTCTCTGTAAATAAAAACCAAAGTGTAAGGATACAGACATGATTATAGATGATACAAAAACTTTACAATGGTGTTTTAGTATTTGGCATGCTTAATTCATGCAGATTTGAGAATTTGAGGTGAATTTTGAATGGTCTCAGTCTATTGTATGAAATGAACTGTATTAGGCTATAATTATATTCTATAAATAATCCTAAAGAAAATCATGTAAAGGGATTCATAATAAGGACATAGAGCAGAAACTGATAGACTTTTTGAAAAATATGCTGACTTATTTTAAGTGGTATGAAGTTGCTAAGTCTGTTTATTTACATCATATTAACCAAAGAACTAATAACCAAACTTCTGGGAAAGGTTGACATTTTGAAAAACTGGAAACTTTACCGAAAGATGTTAGGATTTGTACTACAATTTATAGTTTATCCTTTCTTAGAATTGCCTAATTCTTAGGAAACAAGATATTGTATTCTCAAAAAACTTTTTGCATGTTAAAAGTTTGAAGGCAAAAACAGCGTTGTGTCTAGAGAATTTGAGAAATAATAGAAAAATAGCTGTCATTAGGAAGTTGCTTATTTAAGTAAAGTTTTGCTTGTTTTTATAACTGAAAGTATAGATATAAAACCTGGACATCTCTGCACCAACATAATTGAATTGATGATTTTATAGTGGCCAGGTTTTTATATTTCTCTAGATAGAATGCAGACAACCTGATATGGATTCTAAAACACAAAACTACTTGCTCATAACCGTGCTTTAATTTTGCTGTGTGATCTTGAGGAAGCCACTTAATTTTCCTGAACTTCAGCTCCCTTACCTTTGACACAAGTGAGGTGACCTAAATAGGTTTCTAAACCTCTTATATCCCCTAAATCCATGAGTCCAGCCTGTTGTAGATTTGCTGTTTAGGAAGACTCAAAATGTAACTAGATAATCACTTTATGTGTAAAATTTCCCAAGTTTATTTTCTATCGAGTTTGTAAGATTTAAGCACTTAGATTTTACTTTTACCCTAAGTACTTACTAATATTACAAAATATTTAGCTATCTAAATGCTTCTTACATTATTTAGTGTATATAATATATTGCACATAAAACTCTTGATGTGTATGGGTATCTAAATATTCACTATACAAGATTACATAGTTGTTATTTGGGTGGACCTTTGAGCAAATGCTAGTTAAGTGTACTAATTAGGTTGAAAATTGGGAATGTTTTAATATTTAAATTATAGAAGACCCTTGTAAACTATAAGCTAAGTCAGTGATTATTAGGCTACTAAAATTCAGTACTTTTTCCTTAGTAAAATATTAAATTGATGATTGTGATTTGTTTTGGTACTTGAATTGTATTATTTTTCTTTTGTCCATTCCTGACATAAGGTGAACTTAGAATGAAATGTAGCCAGAGAATGAGTAGATTTACTTTTCTATGGTCTGAAATTGCATTGTACTCAGTGATCCTTTTTGTTATCAGTGGCTGTGTAATTACTTTTAAGGTGTCTGTTTGACATTTGTTTTCCTTCCCAGAAATAGGCATATCTTTCCATGCATATGTGAGTGTTAAATAGTTCTGTGGTCCTAGGAATCCTTCACATTATTTTGACCTGCCTTTGACTCATACCAGTATGGAGGCAGGTCTTTATCACGAGGGAAGGGTTCACTGACCAAAACAAATATTTAGAGTTCTTATGCAGAATGGCACTGTTTCCTAGAGTTCCAGGATTTCTCTTCCTTTCGCTCACCTAACATTTTGGTTTCGGATTGGCTTGGTTAGGTTTTGAGCCTGTGGTGATAGAGAACGTGTTAGAAGGTGACGAGCTGCGCACAGACCTGGAAGCCGTGGAGGCTAAAGTCCGGGAACTTGGGCCTGATCACATTCTGTGCGTTCATTCCACGACATCTTGTTTTGCTCCACGGGTGCCTGATAGGTAAATAATTTGTTAATATTGTCCTGTAGATGTTGATTGGTCTTTTAAGTGACATGCAGACATACTGATTCTCAGAATGCTCTAGTAACACGTGGCAGTAAATAGGCGAACGGGCCTGTGGAGAAACAGCACAGTGGTTTGGGAAAATGAAGATTCAGTAGAGAAGGAGGAAAAGCAACTAGTAGCACGTGGAGCTGAGCAGACAAAAAACATCTCTGTTTTCCTGCTTTTTCTGTTTCTAATCTCTGTGACTCTTTTCCTCATTAGTTTGTAGAAGTTTCTAAGCATGATGTTGGATTTACTTGTTTTCATTGTTATCTCCACTTCTTTGATCTTATGGTTAGTTTTCCTACGTAAGAACAATCAGTATTAACAGATTTTTAAATAGAAAATTTTAGAATTATTTATTGCCTTTTGAATGTGTTTAATTGGAAGATTAACTCACATGTACACTTACGTGTTCACAGTGGTTATCTTAGCATTTTGAGAAAAATGCATACATTTAAGAAAAGAAAAACAAGGGCACCTGGGTCACTCTGTTGTTAAGCGTCTGACTTTGGCTCAGGTAGTGCTCTCATGGTTTGTGAGTCCTAGCCCCACTTCAGGTGTGGGCACCGCTGCCCTCTCCCTCTCCCTCTCCCTCTCCCTCTCCCTCTCCCTCTCCCTCTCCCTCTCCCTCTCCCTCTCCATCTCCCTCTCTCTCTCTCTCTTTCTCTCCCCTCTCCCTGCCCCTCTCTCATTTGCACCTTCTCTCTCTCTAAAGAGAAAAGAGAAGAAAAAACAAAAGCAAAAAGTGAAAAGCAAATGTTTACTTTTCTAAAGGATGTCCACAGATTTTTATTCTGAAAACATAATAGGCTTGAGTATAGTAATACAGATTTCTAGTTTTGACAGCAACTCTTTGTTTCATATGAGCATTTTGAACTGACGTGCTAATAATTTGTGAAAACTATATTGACTCTGGACTGTCTTTTTAGATTGAGTTATACTTTAGTTTTAATTCATGGAATCACACCCTTTGGTAGTAATGAATGTATGTTACTTTTTATTACTTTACTATTATTATTACTATTTATTGTGATAGACATGTTTTACTAGGCTATTTTAAGACCATGCTTTTGAAAATTTACCTTGTCTCATTTTATGACTCTGCATTCTATTTTAAGATTATGTAACATCTGCTTAGTTGTTTATTCATTACTTGCCAATCAGATTTTAAATTTGTGTTGAAATATTAAACATCTCTATTCTTTCTTCACTGATGATTTTGCTATCTAGAAAAATTTTAACAGCACACAGATATTTGTGTTAGATTGGTTTTTTAAATTTTTTTTAAATGTTTATTTATTTTTGAGAGTGAGCGAGAGAGAGAGAGACAGAGAGAGAGACACACACACACAGAATCTGAGGCAGGCTCCAGGCTCTGAGCTGTCAGCACAGAGCCCAAGGCAGGACTCAAACTCACAAACTGAGACCATGATCTGACTGAAGTCAGACACTTAACTGAGCCACCCAGGCGCTCCTGTGTTAGGTTGTTTATACTTGAGAATAATTTTGTTTCATTTTGACTTTTTTTTTTGACGTTTACAGTATGCTTGGTGTAGGGTTAAATATTTTACATGTATAATCTCTTTTGGAAAAAAAATCACAAAAGTTTTTTATCAGTGAGCAAAATTCTCATATGCCATTTTTTAGTTGTGTTATATAATGAAAGTTTCTAATAAGGGTGAACTTTAGGAACATGGTGACACACAGTTATAGTAATATGTTTGATTTTCTGATTTTATTATATTTAAAATATATTTTTATTTCTTTGCATTAAGCTTAATTCCTTTATAGTCTTAATTTGAATAGTTTTATATACTCGTTGTCTTTATTAGTTAATTGATCTGGCAGAGTAGTGGGGCAAAATCAGTCAAAGGAAATGTAATAAAAAAGAAGGATATCATTTTATCATTTGACAAACATCTTAAATTGGCTGCTAAGTTAGAATTCAGTTCGATTCACATGTAAAATATTTTTCTCTCCTTGCCTTTCATTAAATACCTTTATACACACTCTAAACATTAGTATATTTGATAAATTCTGAGTATTTAAAACTACTCATAAGTGATTTTTTTTTTCTTCTTAAAATAGTACTTTATGTTATTATAGTATCTTACTCTCAAGGAACTTTGTTAATAAGGAATGCCTTCATTAGAATACAAATATGTAAAAGTGCATTTTATGAAGAAAATACAGTGTGTATCCCAGAAGGTCTATTTTGTTAAAAACAATATCTGATTAATTTAAGTAATAGAAAGGTTCCTGTATCAATTTGTGAAGTTTGTGAAAGTGAATTATAAAATGACTCTTTAATTCATAACACTTTAAGGAAGTAAATTGAAAACTTCAGACAGATGAACAGAATAATGTCCTGTCTATACTTCAAAATATATTTATGCATATCTATTAAAAAGGAAAATGTATTTTGCAAAAGTAAACACTAAAACTGTGTAATAGATACTTGAAATACATCCTTGTGGGAAAGAACTTTTACTGAATAAAAGTGCTTTGCTTCTAGATTCTTTATATTGTAGAAAGAACAATTTTTAAGAATTTAAGTTTATTAAACTATAGGATTTAGTCTCAGCTTCATAGCATGTGAAGACATTTCTGTTAGAGATGACCTCAGTCACAAGCAGTAGTTGGTTTTGCAGAGGAGCATCATTTATTACATTCTAACTGAAATTTATTACCTTACTTTACATAGAGTTAGACTCTCAAATTGTTTTGATATAAGGAGTGTCAAATAAGAAAGCAAGAGTGAATTTAAAACCAGCAGCTATTTAAAAGATTCTTTAGTTTCCAAGTTGTTGGAAAATGTTATTTTGGTACTGAAACATTTTAATGTTCTGTATTTTTTAATACATTAAAGTCTACTTGAAAATGTATTTTTTACTTTATGAGATGTTAAATGTAAGATTTCTTAAAATTTCAAGATATGCTAATTATTTTGCAGATATTAGCTTTAGTATGATAAGCAACCAAAAGCATTTAAAAATGAGTGTACCACCTTGTAAGGGGTCATTACAATCTGCTTCTTGCTTTATGTATAGGAAATTTTAAAGCGATTTAAAAGCTACCATCTATATAGATGTTTATAAATACCCATTTTCTCATTTATTGGTAACATTAATTTAAAAGCTTTTTTAGATTTATTCTAAAGTGCCTGCTGCTAAATTTTATGCTAAAATACTGCTATAGAAATTTCAGTTTCCCTTTTTTTCCTAGTGTATGTTAAGAATAACTATTAAATTAAAAAAGTTTTCACACTGTAATTTATAAAAGCACAGTAAGAACATGTCTCTTTGTTGAACATTTATGTCCGTAGGTTAGAAGAGCTGGCTGTGATTTGCGCTGACTACGGCATCCCACATGTGGTCAACAATGCTTACGGGGTGCAGTCTTCCAAGTGCATGCACCTCATCCAGCAGGTAAGAGCTTACAAAGAGGCATCCAGAAACAGGGGTGTTAACATATTAGAAGGTTCAGGGGTGTTAACATATTAGAAGGTTATCACTTTGTTTTTCTTACAATTTGATGTAGTAGAATCAACTCTGTAGCATCCTCAACTTCATGGTGCATTAGAAATTAGCATTTTATTTTATTTTTTAAATTTTTTTAATGTTTATTTATTTTTGAGACACAGAGAGAGACAGAGTGTGAGCAAGGGAGGGGCAGAGAGAGAGGGAGACACAGAATCTGAAGCAGGCTCCAGGCTCTGAGCTGTCAGCACAGAGCCCAGCGCGGGGCTCGGACCCACGGACCACAAGATCATGACCTGAGCTGAAGTCGGATGCCCAACCGACTGAGCCACCCAGGTGCTCAGAAATTAGCATTTTATAGCTACACAGGAAAGGTCATTATTTGATGGTAATTGAACTAATAGCTTTGGTCAAGGCCAACACAGAAATACTTCAGTAGCTTATTTTTTGTAACTTTCTGAGAATGCTTCGTTACCGGTATTCTCATTTTTCTAATATACTGGATCATTGTCTTTTTTAAAACTGTATTGATGATTGATTCCGTATTTACTATTTAAGGAATCACTGTACCTGATCATCCTAGGCTAGAAATGGCCTCACTTATAAACATTTTAGTGTGTAACTGTGGAGTTGGCAGGGTTTAAAACACGTAACGATTTTGTTTTGATGAGCATCAACTAGATCCTGGTCATCTGTTTTAGATCTGGAAATGTGCCTGGGCGTCCCATCCCACTCAGAATGAGAATGTTGCCCTGACCTGCAAGGCTCTGTGTATTCAGGCCTCTACAGCTTCTCCGATTGCATTTACTTGTACTCTCCCTCTCTGCCGCTGTCTTTGGGCTTAACTGTCTTTTTTCTCCTCCTCCCTTGTGCCACGTGTGTGTGTACCACCCTGTTTTTGTTCTTGCTCCTCCTCCTCACCGGGTTTCTCTTGCAGAGAGTTACATGGTTTCTTGAAGTCAGTGAGACTCTCTTAGACTCCCCGTCTAAAATAACAGGTTCCTGTTTCTTGCCTGCATCTTCTGTCTCCCTTTTTATATTTTTACCATAAACATTGATTTTAAGGTACACATTTTTCCACATCATAACATTCCTGAAATTGGGTGTTTTAGAATCAGTGGTGTCTTATGATGTTAATTGGTAATGTTTTTTCTTACCTAGTGGTGTGGAAAATTTGGGTGCTTCTCAAAATTGATGACCTCATGCTCTGTTTTTTAAAGCACTTTTCACCATTTGATAAGATGTGTATTTTTTTATTATCTAGTTATTGGTAGTAACTAGAGTTAAGGTTGTTAGGGAAGAGACTTTGTGACTTTGTTTTGTTCACTGTTATGTCTTCAATATTTAAGACAGTATCTGGTACATAATTGATACTCAATAACTGGTTACTGAAAAATTGGATGAATAAATGAAGTATGATATCTACTTACAAGGATTATTTATGTCGTGTGAAGATGTGGGTAGATATTATCCATGTGTGGTGTGAGTTACATAATTTGTGTGCATAATGATGTTAATCACATAAATCACATACTCCGTTTTGACACAAGTGGTGTATGCTGTGTGGGCAGGACTTAGTCACAGATTATCTGTGACCTTGTCCAGTGTGGTGGCGAATGCTTCTTACTTAGCACAGTAGATCCTATCTGGTAAAAAAAATTTGGGGGAGTATCATCTCTCATATAAATGTGGTTTATAGGATAGTATTAGCCAATTTGCTTAATCTTTTTACTCAAAGGTTTTACCAGTTAGGATGCAATTGGCTGCAAGTTAAAGAAACCCAACTCACATTAGCCTAACCAGGGAGGAAGTCCATTAGTTTACATCATGTACGAAGTCCAGAGCTGGAGTCAGTAGTAGGCATGTGATGTCAGAGGAAAACTATTTACCCTTTCTTTCGTATCCTTTTCCATTACTCCTGAACTTTTAAAGGAACTTTTTCATCACAATTCTAGACTAGATTATCTCCATTGTGAATGGTAGTTGAGGAAGGTTGTATAATTCTCTTTGGAAATCTTGAAAAACATTTTATTTCAATGATGTTTTTTAAATTTCTCCTCACCCTTTCCCCTTTTCCTCTTTAGTTTCTAACAGCCGCAGTTCTTTTGAAAGTTAAGCACAGCATTACTAAAAGTTCAGGAAAGTGAGGAAGGAATAGAATATCACTCATAAACCTGTACGCAAACAAATACCCTTAATAGTTTATGGGTCCACTTTTTTCTCATTTTTATATGTGTATTGCTTTTTTTTTTTTTCAATAGTGACAGTCATTGTATACATTTAGTGGTAACTCTTTTAAACTTAGTGCAAGAAACTATTTAATATTTATAGACATTTCTGTACTCTCCACATCCCTATAAAATCTTCATAATGACCATTTCAGTGATTTCAAAACATTTACTCAGATATTATATATTTAACCCAGAAGGGCTTAGTGTTGTGGTGCCGAAGGTATAATTTTGAATACTGGAAAATTGGACAGCATAATTGGAGAGATTAAGACAAAGAAAATGAGTTCCAGGATGTGATGTAAAAGGTTAGAGTTGTGCATCGTGAATGCCTTCCTTTGTCGTCACCTCTCTTCATTTGTGAGGTGAAAATTTTAACCAGAAAATAACACTTTAAGATAGGTGAGTGGTTTTTAAATGCAGCTGCTATATTGTTGCAGATACTGTATTACCTTCTAAAATTAGCATTTAAGAAACAACCGTGCTTCAGCATTTTAATTTTCCCAAATTGGCCCTCACAAAGAGAGGTGTTGGCACTGTTGCTTTAAACTAAATAAATATTTGGGTCTTAACTGAGTGCGAGTTGCTGCTTCATGATGTTCTAGAAAATTAAATTTAGCTTTAATTCATCTCAGTAGTTCTTCTTAGTGATATATATACCATTTATTGAGTACCCCCCATGTGTCAGGCATCCTGCCAGACGTTTAAAGTTTACTAGCTTAATCCTAAAAACTTAAGGTGTACTTATTATTTCCGTTCTATAAATGAAGAAGCAAACTCAGAAGGATTAAGGGACTTGCCCAAGGTCCCATAGCTACAAAATGGCCCATGTGGTTCAGTGTGGCTTCAAAGCCCCATGTTTTCCTTTAAAAAACAACGTGCTGAAACTGCACATACTTTCCTGAGAAGACAGCAGTGTAGCAATCAAACCGTCAGTGAAGAAAGAGCTATAGCTACAGTGTGTCAGCTTATTTATTTATTTTTATTTTGAAGTCGCTGCCCCTGAATGACTTAATGCTGAGCATGGAAAGCGTTCTGCTGTGCACATGTCGTTGAAGTTAGCTCCGAACAGCCTGTGCTTCTGTTCTGTGCTAAACGGACTCATTTAGAAGACGGATGGAATATGGATGGTGGGACAGATTAATGGAGAGGGATATAGTGGAGTCGCAAAAATACCTAGGATTAATCCTTTTAGAGTCAGAATGGATTGTAAAGCTCCAAAGTGTGGGGAACAGTGGCTTCGCTTATTGAGAATTTGGGAAACGCCTTGGATTTGGATCCCTTGGATCATGGGGTCCTCTGTCCCCTTCTCTTTCTGCTCCTCTGCCCTCTTCCCTTCAAAAATAAATAAACATTAATAAAAAGGAATTTGGGAAAAGTACATATTATACTCCTTATTCACAGACCTAATGGTCCAGTTCATTCAACATTTACAAGATTCCCCTATGTGCCAGGCATCAAGTTAGGCACTGGGGATACAGAGGCGAATACAACAAAATCCTTATCTTCATGGAGCAGAAGCAGACAGGAAACAGTAAGTTTGATAAATGCTCTGGATCGGGAAGGGGGTGTCAGGTTAGATGGAGCAATCCAGAAAGTCCTCTCCAGGAAGTAACACTTGAGCAGAGCCCTGAGTGATAGGAAGGAGTGAGCCATGCGGCTCTCTGGAGTCCAGACGGGAGGTAACAACAGCAAGTGCCAGGACTCGGAGGCAGGTGTGTGCTTGGGGTATGCGAACAGCAGCAAGGACGCCAGTACGGCTGGCCCCGGGCAGATGAGGGTGGCAGTGGTAGTAAGAACTGAGGGGTGTTAGGGTTTGGGATTTCATCCTCGGTACGGTCATCAGCCATGGGAGGCTTTTGAGCAGGAGTGACATGTGATTTACATTTTTCAACCGTCATCATGGCTACTATGTGAGTAAGAAGGCAAGAACGGAAGGCCATTGCAGAGCTCATGTGAAATAAGGTGGTGGCTCAGGCCGTGGGGGGAGCCATTAAGGTGTTAAGAAATGGTTGGATTCAGATGTATTTTGAGAGTGGCTCTTAGAGGGTGTGCTGATGAATCAGATGTGAGGGGTAAGGAAATGAGAATTCAGGGCCCAAGGCTTTGGCTGAGGCAGTTGGAAGAATGGAAATGCCATGGGAATAATAATTTATTTTATAAACATGGGCCCTTCCTCCAGATTACCTAGGTTTTAGTCCCTGCTGTGTCTTTAATCACCTGGGTAACTTTCATCAAGGTGCTTTAATGGCCTGGGTTTGAATCCCAGCTGTGCTGTTAATATTAAGTACATTCCTGACCTTGGGCAGGTCACTTTAGTTTTACTGTGCCTTAATGCTCTCATCTGTAAAATAGCTATTATCTTAGCAGCTACCTCAGAGGGTTATTACACGGGTTAGGAATGTGAAGTGCTTAGAACAGTGCCTGATGCACAGTGAGTTCTCAATAAACGCTGGCAGAAGTTATTATATGAACAATTTTGCTACTGCTGTCCCTAGAATCTTGGGCAATGTTTGGCAGCTGATAGGTGCCCAGATATTTCTTTTGTGAATAACAAGGAAATGAATGAGTTGATAATTGACAGCCCTTTCCTTCATAGAACATGCTCATATGATTCCTATTTTATTTAAGCCCTTTCAGCCTTCTGATGTTTTCTTCCTTCCTCGTTGATATCCTCTCACTTCGGTGAGAGTGGGTATACCTTCCTTTTTTGTTTATCTTTTTTTTTTTTGCTAAGCAATTTATTAAACCATACTTTATGGGTATTAACTAAACTTAGTGTGGTAATCACTTCATAATCTATGCATATATCACATCATGTTGTACACTTCTAACTTCTACATTGTGTCAATTATATCTCACTAAAGCTGGCAAAAAGGTTTTTTCCACTTAAAAATGAAAAAAACCCTTCATTTCCACATTTATTTGCAAAGTTTTATCTTTTAAAAATATTTAGATATACACTGAATCTTTAGATATTCTCTTTCTTTGATAAAAACCATTTGTTTTTTGTGAGCCTGTTTGTTTTCTTGCCAGAGTGTGGTGCCTTTTATGCTCTCTGGGTTTTAGTGATGAAGGGATTCTAGCAAAGTCCAGTGCAGTGATGGTTCTCTTATGCTTCTGCACCTGACTGAGGCTCCATTTCTCTCAGGAAGCCTTGGACAGTACTGAAATGTTAATAAAAGACAGCTCTTAACTGTTCTTCTTTATTATTACCTTCTAATACTTTGTGTGCTCTTCAATTATTTATTCTATTAGTCTTTATATGCTTCTTGCTGCTTTCCTGTGATACAGCAAGATTTTCTTTGATCGTAGTTTATGAGGAAATTAGAAGAGTAATAGGAAAAGGTTGAGATTGAAACAATCATGTGGTAGCTTCCAAAGTAGTCTGCTTCTCTTTCCTGCTTCTGTGTTTCTACCAATTGCCTGGATCTGGTCTCTTAGATTAGGCCAGCTATCTGCTGCTTCTATTCTCCCTGAGATATGGATGTGGAGGGAAAGTGTGAAGATGAAGGTCAAATGTGGTTATAATATTAATAAGAATGTAGATTGTGAATACAGATTGAAAATCTGTCACTACAGATAAAGAAAAAAAAAACGATCTTGGTTGAAATTTAGATAGTATCTCTATTTTTAAGAGGAGAAAATTGAAGCACATTAGATAGAAGGTCACAGACTATGTTAGATGGGGACTAGAACTTAGTTTTTACATTTCTAGTAAGTATTCAATTTTTCACTAGAATATTAGATTTTCACTTGAAGTTCATTTGCAGTGGAATGAGGTCATGTAAGATTATAACATTAGGAAACATGAGTTATGTAGAAACATTGCCAAGAGTATACAAAAAAGATTCCATTAGTTGATGTTAAAAATAAATGTTCTCTTTTGTTGTCTGAATGGTGGTAGGAGCACAGATTGTTGCTTAAAGTGGTCGTGCAGGTAGTAGATTACTCAGGCATCAAAGAGAAGTACAGTACTTAATGTAAAACTGATTGGCGACATAGCTGGCTAACGTCCATTGGATTATGGTGACCACTCTTGAACTTACAGAGGGTGTTTAAAGTAAGTTAATAGTTGCAGGACCCACTGTTGGCGTTTATTGTCAAATAGAAAATCACAGATGAGAGACAAGGGAGGAACCTGTTCTCTCAGCCAACAGTAAGGTGAAAAGCTGAGTTCTCACCTGAACTACTATGGAAACCCTGCCTTCCTCCCAGGGTTGTTGTGAGGATTTAATGATTCTTTTGTATGAAAGCAGGTTGTACACTATAAAGTGCTCTTTCACATAAAAGGAGCAGCATTTAAAAATTCATTTTAATACTTAAAAATCCTTTATTGGCAGTGTTACAGAGAAAATTAGAATGTTTGATTTCTGATTTTTCGTGCATTGTTTAATGGTATTTATTGATTAATAGTAGTTGTTGTCTCTTTTTCTAGAAGCCAGTGTGTAATACTGCATGTTGTTTCATTCTAGGGGGCTCGAGTTGGTAGAATAGATGCTTTCGTTCAGAGCTTGGACAAAAATTTCATGGTTCCAGTAGGTGGCGCTATAATTGCTGGCTTTGATGATTCCTTCATTCAGGAAATCAGCAAGATGTATCCAGGTAAATAAATCAGTTGCTCTTCAGAAAAAGTAACTGAAGTAATACCATTTGTACCTCGGCCACTATAATAAATCTTAATTTCTAAGGCTTTTTCCCCCTCCTGAATGTAACTTGTTCATCTTACTTCAGGAAGAGCTTCTGCTTCACCTTCTTTAGATGTCCTCATCACTTTATTATCACTTGGATCAAATGGCTATAAGAAGCTATTGAAAGAAAGAAAGGTAAGTTTTCTCTTTAGGTATAAAATCGTACCCTTCACTGAAATCCTTCCACATTACTGGTGTTTTTGCCTTTTGGTTTGCCCCTTAGAGAGCGTAGCTGGTTAGTGTGGTTCTAGGGCACGGATTTGGGTCTGGAATCACTCCGGGTGGTTTCTCTCCGGATGTGGTGAGAGATCTTGGACAGGTGAATTTGCTTTTGTTTTTTTGATAAACTCCTACATCAGAGATTCTTACTATCTCGGTAAAAATCAGTTCATTTTTCACTTAAAGATAGAGGCCCTTGAAAAACAAACATGCAGGTTTCTTTCCTTTTAGTTTATGGAAGTCTGAAGATCTGTCCAGGCGTGAGATGTCAGTTGCAGGAGAAAGAACCAGGTCAGAACCTAGCCAGCTTCTCATTCTGAAATAATAAATTCATCCCTTGCCATTACTGCAATGCTGAACTCATTGCTTATGTTGGCTGTGAAATGGAAAATGACATTTGTGCTTGAAAACTAGACTTTGTCTCCAACACTAAAATCTAGCTTAATTAATTCAGGAAATCTTCAGAATTGTAGACAGAGGCAGTGTTGGCAGGGTGGGTCAGACTAAGATGTTTTATTCATCTCCCATCTGCGGGAGCTAGAGGCCCCGGGACAGTTTTTGTATCTCTGTAACTTCCCAACAATCAGTAGCAATTATAGTCCCTTAGATTATTAATAGTATTTCATGTATTTTAAGCTATTTTATATATGTTTTGATCCTCTCAGCAGCCTTAGGAATATGCAACAGAAGTTGGAAAATTTTGTTCCCGATTTTACTCTAGTCTTAGAGTGCACCCCCCCACCCAAAACAGTCCATAGGAAAGTAATTGTTTACTTTATATTGTGAGGACCTGTCTTAATATTTACGTGATATGGGAAAAGACCTTCAACATCACACATGTGAAAACCACAGTGAGCTACCACCACGTACCTCATAGAAGGAAGCCGACAGTACTAAATGCTGGCAAAGATCTCAAGCAAGTAGGTCTCTCAGACATTGCTGGTAGGAACACAAATGGTACGGCAACTTTGGAAAACACTTTTGCAGTTTTTTATGAAGTTAAACATATGGTACCATATAAACTAGCCAGCCCACTCCTAGCTCTTTACTCAAGGGAAATAAAAATTTATGTCTGTATAAAAACCTATACATGAATGTTTGCAGTGATTTTATTCATAATTGCCAAACCCTGGAAACAACTCAAATGTCCATCATCTGGTGCATAAACAAACTCTGGTACATAATACTCAGCAATAAAAAGGAACAAATTACTGATATGTGCAACAAAATAATGGCTCTCAAAATAATGGCCTTGTATTGAATGAAATAAGCCATACTCTAAAGATACATATTATATGATTTACATGCCATCCTGGAAAAGGCAAAGCGTATCTGGACAGAGAAGAGAGCAGTGGTTGCGAGTCTTGAGTTGAGCGAAGGGGACTCGTGGGGCCGTTACCTGTTCTGGATCTTGATAGTCATAACTGTGTGTTTGTCCAAATTCGTAGAAGTGAATCCCTAAAAACTGGGCCTCTGAAACTTTACCATATGTAAATTATGCCTCAATAAACCTAACAAACATTTCCAAATGATGAGAATAAAACTCAAGTTTGCTAAACTCCCAAAAGTAATCATCATGGTAGTAGATTGTTGTAGCCAAGAGAAGACCTCAACGTATCTTCCAAGGAACCTTTTCTGTTTGATGGATGAGACCTGTTTATAGATGAGCAAAACTATCATCTGTTTGTCTTGTTTATATGAGAGTTTAGTTGTATTAGGTGCCCATGGGCCTTAGGTCTCCTTTAACTGGTTGTTTCATTGTGGAAAAGGTATTTGAACTTGCAGATTTTTTTTTTTTTGTAAGGTGTTTTCTGTCATCATTTTTATAGGAAATGGAAGGATGGAGAAGTAATATGTATGGGGTAAATTGTGGCGTTTAACGCTAAGCAATTGGACCTCTGATCCTCTGTCTTAACCTCTAAACTCTGCTGCTTTCTTCTTATATGGATATAAATAGCCTGGTAGCTGTGTAGTTATCGTACATAGCTGTAAATCTGAAGACTTATGTCTGCTAATACACAAAGGAGGCAAAGACAATGAATAAATTTAGCAACCCTGGCCAAAAAAGCTCAGTGGTGTTTTAGAAAAAATATAAGGTATTTGTTTGTGCAGAATCACTGTTGACGGGGGGCTGCCCCTCTGACTCCAGGTGATCCCAGTAGCACTGTCTGGTATAGTGTCCCTTCCTCCTTTTGCCGGAGTGGTGAGCATAGGACCCGGCTAGCGTGGTTCACAGGTAGGCATGTGGAGGTCGATTCCATCCAGCAGATTTGATAGATTCTTTAGACAGAGGGGGTTTGCTGCTTCGCAGATAGTAAACTGTAAGGATATGATCTTATTACTCACCTGCCATATTTCTGACCTTGCCAAGAAAGCCTTCTTGGGACCAGAGAATATAAGAGGGAAAACAGAACAAAGAGTCATCTGAGTTTCTGGATCAAAGAGTCATCTGAGTTTCTGGATCTAGCCATGCCTGCTGATAGCCTTGGCTGTGAGATGGACCAACAAATTCCGTTTTTTATTTTAAACTGGACTTATGGCACTGATGCCTTGAGCCCTTCATAATGTTTCCCAGCAGTTGTTTCCTCCTTTTCCCTCCCGCTGCCATCACTCCTAGCTCAGGCCCTCACCATATCACCCCAGGATGGCTACAGGAATTTACTAATTCTTCTGACCCGTAGCCTGTTCTCATTTGCTATGTTGTAAATGAGTGCCAGGGTAACCCTTTAAAGTTCTTCAAGTTATTCTCCTTTGAGTTCTGGTTGCCTGCAAGACAGAGTCCACACCCCTTAGCCTGCCATCACGATCCTTTGCAGTCTGCTCCCCGCATTGTGTTGGCGGTATTGGACCTTGTGTGCTCATTTATTCAGGCAAAGAGATGTTTATGCATAGGCTCTAAGGTTAAATTCAACAATGAGACTTACACAGTCTCTACGCTCATGGAAGTTACAGTCGAGGGAAATCTGGATATTAAATAAATAATTACAAGTCTATTTGTAATTTATTTTATGAAAGGACAAGCAGAAGATATGAGAGCGTGTGTCACCCTCCCCAGCTGGGGCACTAACCCAGTTCTGGGAGGGTCAGGGAAAGCCTCCCTGAGGAAGGAGCATCTGTTCTCTGAAAGTGCAACTTGTGCATTTATTAGACTCTTATGGTGTCATCATAAACTAGAGTGAATGGCTAAAATAACTGTATAACTCTTATGGGGTATTTTTTTTAAGTTTATTTATTTTGAGAGAGAGAGAGAGTGCAAGCAGGGAAGAGACAGAAAGAGAGGGGAGAGAGAGAAAGAGAGAGTGAGAGAGAGAGAGAGGGAGGGCGAGAGGGAGAAAGGGAGAGGATCCCAAGCAGGCTTCAGACTGCCAGCGCCTGATGTGGGGCTTGATCTCAGGAACCCGTGAGATCATGACCTGAGCCAAAAATCAAGAGTCAGACGCTCAACCGACTGAGCCACCTAAGTGCCCCACTTACAGGGTATTCTAGACTGAGTCTAGAAAGCAAAGTCCTGTGTAGTTCCAAGAGAGTTTGATCTAGATTACTTCATAAAATTAACTTTTCTTTAGGATAAATTCAGATTCAATAAGTCTGGAATGGGGCTCAGACAACTGTGTTCTTAACAAACTAGGAATCTGGTGCGCATCCTAGTTTGAAACCCGTTACTTTGGGGGCACACAGGTCACTTGTATCTGTAACAGAAACTGAGAGGAGAGACATAACTTTTTAGTGTTATAATACATAGGTAGATAATATTTTATGGAGTTTAAGATGGACTGTATAAATACTCCAAAATATCAAAGCTTTGAAAATATAACTTGTTAGTTATCTATTTCTGATCTCTTTAGTTGTCCTAGTTATAGTCGTTTCTTGTAGTGTTGTTGCTCTTTGCCTTATAACGGTCCCTTTGCGGATTTGGCTAAAAATTCATTTTTGGAAATACAGTATCTCTGATAAGACTATTACATCAAGTTTTAAGTTAGACATTTAAAATTTGTTTATCATATAGATAGAAACTTTAAAATTTTTTTTAATGTTTATTTTTGAGAGAGAGAGTGCACGTGTGCGAGCTGGGGGAGGGGCAGAAAGAGAGAGTGAGACACAGAATCTGAGGCAGGCTCCAGGCTCTGAGCTGTCAACACAGAGCCCGACGCAGGGCTCGAACCCATGAACTGTGAGATCATTACTTGAGCTAAAGTAGGACACTTAACTGACTGGGGCACCCAGGTGCCCCGATACTTTAAAAATGTTTATGTGCTGTTGTAGTATCAAATAAGTTGTATTGTTTAGTATTTCTTATTTCTGTTCCTCCATTGAAACTGTATATGATAATAGCTAATAAAATTATGTTATTTGCCGTAATAAACTAATATCTGTCTTGAGTGATTTCGTAGTTAAGTTTATTTAACTAGCATGTTAAACTGATAACCTGAGTGCGTATCCCCCCAGAAATCACCATCAGGGGTGTGAAATGAGACTTGGTCCTGGGTGATGGGGGGTCTGGGAGACTAGTGTCCACCTTGCAGTTTGCATTTATCCCTCTGGGCTTAGCGCCCTTTGCTGGAGGTGCTAGATGCTCATCAGGTGTTGACTGAATGAACTAGTGGGAGGTATTAGGGAATACCTAGGTTTAGCTTGGCATGGTCATCTCTTGTTTGACACAGAATAATATCTTTCAATTAGAGAGCAAATAACTTTTGATACTGACTTGCATTATGAATTAGATGCTCTCATGGGAATATTTCTCAGTATTTCTAAATATTCACAATAATTTGTGAAAAGGAACCAGTTAAAATGGTGATAAGCTGTCATGTGTAACAGGTGCTGTATCAGGGTTCTCCTCTTCCAAATTTATTTCCTTACCGTAAGATTTTGGAATTGTTGATTTTAGAAGGGGTCTGTCATCTTTTTGGAGTCTT